TACTTTTGGGGTCTCTAGTCAATTTTATGTACATACAGCATAAACACAATATATAATAATTTTACATACCTGCTGCTTCCAAGGAGGAGAATTTTTAAAAATGTAAACTCTGGTTGCATTTAACTGTATAGCTCAGCATGATGAGATTTATTTTTCTTGCTAAAATAACAAAATTGTGGTTTGGGTTTTTTTAATCAAGAAATTAAAAGTGTCGTACTGAAATTTTTTAAATGTGTGATTTTATATTGCCGGGAGAGAGGGAGAATCTCCCTCTGCCCTTTTCCTTAAGGTTCTGATGGCTGGCCAAATAATTAACAAGACAGGTTAGCAGGAGAAAATAATACCAAGTTTAATAACATGTATACATGGGAGAAACTCAGAAATGAGCAACTTGTTCCTCTGTCTAAGCTGCTTGCTTAAGTATTGTAGCTAAAGGCGAGGAAGGTGTTGGGGGTGGGTAGTGGTCTGGGACTTCAGAGGGCAAGAAGACAATTCTTTTCAGGGTCATCTATAGATAACGTGGTCAGAGAGATGGAGTTTTTTGATAAAAGGGGCTTGGTGCCCCTACCATTGTAACATCTATTTTACATTATCATTACAGCCATCATGATAGAAGATCTGTTCCAGGAAGGAGCCACCATGTCAAATTCTTTAGGCAGTTAGTGGGGGAGGTCAAATGTCCCTCAGAGAAAACAATCCAGGTAAAGAGATATATTTCAGGGTGACCAAATCTTGATCTCCCACAATATAAAGATTCTTAGAAAATAATCCAAAATAACAATGTTGCACATTTTTAATCTATTGGGATTAGCAGAATGATACAAGCTGCTTTTTTCAAGATCGGTGCAATTCCATAAGTGAAGAATATTTCAATCATTATTAGAAAATGTTTACTACGTCTCTTGTTAAAGCAAGACAAATAAAGGTTAAACTGAACAATAACAAATGCTGATTTATGTAGAGATCAGCAAAAGACGTCAGGCAATGGGACTCCAGCTCTTGGTTGAGTCCATGAGGACTGTTGGTCTTAGGGAGCAGTTAGGGTTACTGAGGCCCTAGGTCAAATTTCAGACTCTGGGCTGGGTGTTTACTTAGCTCCAATTTCCTGGGTCATAAACTGACTCAACAAACATTCTTAAAAACTGAGGAACTAACTACAACCACTATGCAGTTGAAATCCGTTATCTCATCTCATTCTGACAACCATCCTGTTCTGACCAATGAGGAAACCCAAGTGTGGAGATGCTCCAGTACTTTCCATCTATTTCCACCTGAGTACCCAACAAAGGCAAAGGACAGTGAACACGCTCCTGGAATGTTCTAAAACTAACGTCCAGTGGCCTCAAGGGGGGGGGTATCATCATCATCATCATCACCTTCATCATGATTATTATTATTATTTGGGGGCTTGTGTTTTAAGAATGTGTAAGAATTGAAATAGTTAGGTGGACCATATTTATCTTGTGGCTTTCTGTACTCCCTGGTATATCCCCACAAATCCTTAGTTGCTTTTTTCCCCCAGCTTTATTAAGGTATAATTGACAAATAAAATTGTATATATTTAAAGTGTACAACGTGATGATTTGATATATGTATACATTGTGAAATGATTCTCACAACCAAGTTAATTAGCACATCCATCAGTCACACAGTTGCCTTTTTTTTTTCTGTTGAGAACACTTAAGATCTATTCTCTTAGCAAATTTCAAGTATACAATACGGTATTATTAACTTTAGTCACCATGCTGTACATTAGATACTCAGAACTTATTCATCTTATAGCTGAAAGTTTGTACCCTTTGACCTCTCTCTCCATTTCCCCCACCCTCTAGCCTCTGGCAACCACCATTCTATTCTCTGTTTCTATGAGTTCAAATCCTAGGTTTTCAAGAACAGCATTAAATAACTTTGCCCAAGACTTAGAATTAATGATTGGTTGCGAGTTCAATCACATCTTGGTGATTCTAGATTCAAAATCAGGTGAGGATCACCATGCTCTTCCGTCTACCACCCTTTGGGATCCAAAGCTCATGCCTCAGTTCCGTGAATGGCAAACAGTCGCCACGACTGGCCAGGCCAATGCCCAGGCCAAAGCATAAAGTAAGAGTGTGTTGTTTTTCACCCCAGACGTCCCTATCAGCTGTCTCTATCCTAGTGTGGTGATAACTGTTAATAACTGGCTCTCTGGGATACAAAAAAACACTTGATTTCAGCATTTGGTGATTTCTGTGTTGTAAATAAACTCACCATGGCTGATTTTCAAACTTAATATCACTAAATGCGGAGATGAGAAGAGATATCCATAATCAGCTCTTACAAGCAGGTGTGAGCCTGTTCTAGCATCTTCATATCTCCATCCTTTGTTTGGTATCTATTCCACTTTCTATTCTTGTTCTCAGTGAGCTATGAATCTCTATCATGGTTTCATTATAATAATATAATGACTCATTTATTGAAGAGTTATGACAAGTCAGACCTCTTCTAAAACTCCACATGCATTATTCATTTAATCCTCACAATGACGCTCAGACATAGGAAATATTTTTATCCCTACTTTATGTGTGAAGAAACTAAGGCAGTTGGAGATTCAGAAATTTATATAAGGCCCCCTCCCAGACCAACCTAAATCAGACTCTATGTGAAGGATCTTGTCATCTGATTTTTAAAAATCTTCCCATGTAATTCTAATGTGCAGCCAGAGTTAAGAACCACTGATCTAGAAAACAAAGCAAGAACACTTGCTATTTGAAAAAAATATAACTTTCCAATTGAATGTGGCTAACTATATGTTAGGTCTTAGATAAAGCTCAATTCACACTTCTATTTGGCTGTGTAGACACACACCATACATGAAAAAATCTCTGTAGAGATGAATAAAGTGAGAAAGTGGGTCATCTTTAGGATGTGACACAGTTTTTCTAAAAAATATTCTGCATAACCTAAATATCTCAATAAGTAAGTTAGCAATAAATTTTGAAATTATCTTCTAGCTTTCACTTCAAATATTACTATACTGTTATTTACTTATTTTGCTTAATGTGAGGTCACCAGATAAAATAAAATACGGGATATATTTATAAAAAATTATTTATTGTTTATCTGAAATGCAAATATGACTGAGTGTCCTATATTTTTATTTTTTACATCTGGCAGCCCTCGCTTAATTTCAGGGCAGAATTTTCATGCTTTGAATTAAAACTCAAAGGATCCTCTTCCTTCATTACCTCTCACCATCCCAACTTATCCATCCTCCAAACTTGGCCAATGAGTATGCCGATAAGCAACATGGCTTTACTATTTATACCAATTCCCACTGGCTTTGGTCCTTAATGTTAAATTGTAAATTTAACCCTACAACGGTCAATATTTTTATAATTTGGATGCCAAGAAGCTGTTTTAAGCAATTGAACACAGCCAGAAACCATAAACGAAATGATTGCTAGACGTGCTTTTACATACAAATTGAAAATATCTTATATGGCAAAAGACAAAATAAAACAAAACAAAAAAATACTAAAAGTAACTTTGAAAGATAAATGGAAAATGGGGGAAATATTTGCATTTTAAAATAAGATAGACTAAAATAAACAAAAGGCAAGCACCCCAATTAAAACATGGATAAAGGATATAAAATTGAATTCACAGGAAAAAAAACACAGATGTCTGGTAAGTATAAGAAAATATGCTTAACTTTAGCAGTAAACAAAGAAATACAAAATGAAATACTGAGATATCATGAATCACCTATCAGATAAGCACAGATTTAAAATTTTGACAAAACTCACTATTGGTGAGAGTTTGGAAGAAACAGTCCTTCTCATAAACTGGGAATAGAAATGTAAACTGGAGTAATCTTTTAGCGAGCTTATTAGCAATATTATCAGAATTTTAACATGTATATAAATTTGCCTCACATTCTATTTCTACAAATGTATCTGATAAAGTAAACTCGTACACCAGGACCCACAAAATGGAGGCAGCCCCAGAGGCCTGGCCCACGTTACAAATCTAAACCTAAGTCAGTCTGCACTTACAGGAAATATCTGTCAAGGAAACCTAACATACAACAACCACAGTCGTCCAAGTCAGCTCTAGCTAGGTCACCTGACCCTAGAAGACAGGACCCGACAGCCAACCATGCCCCATTTCTGAATTGCCTCTTCTCACACTCTATAAAACTCACTATTGCCCAAAATCCCTTGGGAAGAGTGCCCCACTGTTTGTGGGGCACGGTACTCCCCCAATCCATGGATTGTTTTTGCTTGCATAAAGGACATCAAGCTCATTACTAAATCATTTTAGTTTTATGATTTGACATATCCTAAGAAGGTAAGACAAACATGCAAATATATATGAACAAGAATGCTTATCACAGCATTTTTTATTCTAGTAAGCAATCTGTCCCCAAGCCCTCAAAAAGTGAGAATCTGATGACTAGCAATGAAGGATTTTTAAATAAATACTCACCAAATATTAACGCAAGTGGGATTTTCACTTCTTTACAGTTTTCTGAATTGTTTGATTTTTTTTCTTACAGTGAGCATGTAATTCAGAAAAAAATAAAAGTAATCCATTTGTCATTTGGGAAGCAGTGATCAGAAAAAAGTAAAATCAGTTATCTCTAGATAATTCTGGAACATAAAGTACTCAATATAAATAGATGAAAAGTGGTCATCAAAAAATACTAGTGATTTTTGGTAAAATCCCCACTCTGTTACTGAATGCATGCTAAGTCCCTCTCTATCCCAGCTGATTTGATTTATAATACCTGCTGAGCCATAATGCTAATGACCGGCACTAGAAGATACCTTTTGCCCCCTAAGTACCATGGGCCCAGGATATTTGGTACTATCTTATATTTCAGAGGAATCATGGTCCACTAATAACTTGAAAAGTAGTTAAGAAGGTAGGGCATAAAAACAACTTACTTTAACAATTGTATGAAGTTCTTGGGAAAAGGATACCAAATATGTGAAGACAATCGTTTGTCTGTTGCCACAAACCCTGGCCCTGTCTGAGGTTGAAAAAAAGCTCCCTTGATGTCTTGAATATGCTTACAGGATACTTTAGTGAAATCCAAATATTTCAGCTTCTGTCTAGATCTCACTTGAAGTCCATTATAAAGTTACAGTAGTATAAACATAAGGCTCTTTTTCACCCACACTCTCAGGATATATTCAGAGAATTTTAGCTTCCTAATAAACCAGTTAAAATTGTACTGCCAAAATGAGAGAAGGACAGACCTGTAAACTGGGGCCCAAAGAGATCAAACAATTAGCCCAGGGCCCTGCTCAGAGGCTGCCTCCTTCATGAGCCTCCGGAACTCTGTTGGGCCAACAAACCCTCAAGCATCCATAGCTCCCAGTTGAAAACTGACTTAGTAGACTCCCTCGAATGGCTTTCCAGGATTTTCGTGGCTATTTATCTCATCTTCCCATTTAGATTGTCAGCTCCTTGTAGTCAGAGACTAGTTAGTTCTCATCTCAAACCCACTGATCCAGCAGCTTCCAGGCAAGGCCACGAAGACAAGAATTCTGCCCCCAGGAGGCCACAACATGTTGATATTAAACAAGAGGGAGTACTTGATATGTGTTTTCCCCAGAATGCTGCAAAATAGGACTTGTTATATAGTTCAAGACTCTAAATCTAAGACTTGTGTTAGATTATTATTATTCTGAGTCATATGCAAATTCACCTTTGTTGTTGTTAGTGCCATGGAGTTGATTCTCACTCCTAGCAACCCTGTCTAGAGCAGAACAGCACCCTGCCCAGTCTTTTTGCGCCATCCTCTCACCTTCAGGCGCTCTATCAGACAATGCTTTGCTGCTATTCATAGGGTTTTCTTGGCCAATTTTTTTAGAAGTGGGTGGTCTTGTCCTTCTTCCTAATTTGTCTTAGTCTGGAAGCTCCACTGAAACCTGTCCACCATGGGTGACCCCGCTGGTATTTGAAATACCAATGACATAGCTTTCAGTATCACAGCAGCACGCAGCCACCAGAGTACGACAACTGACAGACAAGTGGTGTGGTTCCATGACCAGGAAATGAACCCAGGCCATGGCAGTGAGAGCACCAAATCTTAACCACTAGACCACCAGGGCTGGCAAATTCACCTTTACATGATCGTAATAACCTAAAGAATTTAGAAGAATGAAATATATCATTCTAGTGTACAACAAATACCTCTGCCACATGTCATTTAAGTAATCATATAAGAAAATGTACATCTTCTTCCTAACAGTGGACGGAGGTTCAACACACGTTTCAGACACAAAGCTCCATCCCCAAAATACACAGTTAAATTCAGTGTTGGCTGAGAGCCCAAATGTGGAAGTGACTCTCAAGGAAGAAGGGACTCACATTTCTCATGCCTCCAGATTTCTTGAACAAGTAATTCAACGAGTAGACATTCCAGTCAGAAACAACCACATCAGCTAAATAGGTCCCTTCTTCCTTAAAGTGCTTTACCTACTTTGAGAAGGTCCCACATGAAAACAAAAATCAATGTAAGGTTAAGGTTTCCATAGAAATACTGACAATTAATAGCTGAATGTAGCTAATAATAGTCATTAAAACTTGTTCTAAATCTCGATTTTTATTCCCACATGAGCAGAAATAAGATACATAAAATAAATTAAATTATTCTTACTAAATAATCTTAAAACTTTTTGAAAATATAGAGGCAAAATAGCTAATTTTACCAAGTAAACTACCAAACCCAATTTAATTGAAATGATCATTGCCACTTAATGAGAGCTTCTCATATGCTAGGTTTTGTAGATACTTTATATCATCCAATCCTCACAACAACCCTCTTACAGTTAGAAACCAAGGTTAATTACTTCATTCATTCATTCATCCTGTTTAAAAATAATATTTGAGTTCAATTGAAGTGGAGAAGAGTTCAACTTCAGTATGTGCCAGGCCCTTCAGTGCTGAAAATAAAATGGTGTGCAAAATCTGACCTGGATTCCAGATCTCATGGAGCTTAGAATACACTGAAGGAGACAGTTATTAATCAAATGATCACTTAATTACATGTATGTTTGTAGCAGAGAAGGCCAGGAGAGGAAAAAACGGAGATTTGACCTAGTCAGAGAGGTAAGAAACAGCTTTCTTGAGGAAAGGACAGCAGAGACTTGAAAGATAAGTGGGAGTTAATATGGCAAAAGGCCAGAAAAGCAAATGGAGGAAATAGCATATACAGATCTTCCTCAACTTACGATGGGGTTGCGTCCCAATAAATCCATTGTAAATTGAAAATAGCATAAGTCAAAAGTGCATTTAATACACCTAACCTATCAAACATCAGAGCTTAGCCTAGCCTACCTTAAACATGTTTAGAATGCTTACATTAGCCTACAGTTGGGCAAAATCATCTAACACAAAGCCTATCTTATAATAAAGTGTTGACTAGCTCATGCAATTTATTGAGCACCATACTGAAAGTGAAAAACAGAATGGTTGTAAGTGTAGCGGGTGTTTACCCTCCAGGTCAAGTGGCTGACGGGAAGCAGCGGCTCGCTGTCCAGCATCGTGAGAGAGTATCGTACCACATATCACTAGCACAGGAAAAGATTAAAATTTGAAATTCAAAGTACAATTTCTACTGAATGCACATGGCTTTCACATCATCATAAAGTCGAAAAATCATAAGTTCAACCACCCAAGTCAGAGACTATCTGTACAAAGGCCCTGTTGCACGAGAGAGGCAATTTTGAGCAACTAAAAAGTAGTAATCATAGCTGCAGGGCAGAAAGCCAGGGATGTGATCTAACAGGAGGCTGGGCAGGGAAAGGGGCCAGACTAGAACCTTGAAGCTGGGTTAAGGACTTGGATCTTTATTCTAGGAGGAATGAGAAGCCAGGGGGACTTGAAGCATCAGGGCATCCTGATCAGATTTGCCCAAAGCGGCCTAGACTGAATCCAGATCCAGTTCTCTTTAACTCGAAAAGCCTCCAGAACCTATTAGGATATTTAAGAATTCAACTTCAGTATAATTTTCTTTTAGAAATTACAGTTAAAAAAAAAAAGAAGAAGAATTTTGAAGACCGAATTTCTAATTTTGCAAATGCATGATTTAACATTTTTTAGGGTATAATGTAAGTATGTCTGCACTGTCACACTAGGGTGAGAAGAATATTTCCCCAAATAGCAAGGAGATTCTCACATAGACCGTGAAAAGCAAAATCGTTCACTGTTTTGTGGTTTTCTTGCAGCTATTTTTAAAATGTGTTCTTGAAAGTTAGCAAAGTGCTAACTTCTTAATTTGAAATTACTGATCAGTGCTTAATTTTAATTATCAATATAGTCATACTTTTGCCAAATGTATTTTTCAAAGTAAGAAATTCAGAAGAGTTTATTTTTTACCTATATTCTCTAGCCACCTATCACCAGCCTGTTTGTTAATTTCTTTATTACATAGTTTAAGAATAGGTGTTACCTACAAGCTTCCTTCCTATTACATAAAATTTCCATAAAGATTTATTTTTTAACTTTATAATATTTACGATTTCAGAGATTAAAAATCATGATCTTAACAAACTTATTTCAGTCACTTCCTGATAATTATGCAAAATACAGTGGTAATTTCCAGGCTAGGAGAATGACTCAAATTCTGTGATGAAAAAATTCAAAAACTCTTAATTTGATGTTACAAAATTAAGATGAAAAACATTTACTTTTTAAATTACATTCATTAATTTCACTCACTCATTGAAAAGCACTCTTTGAGTGTCTAATGTTTATGGAGATCCGAGAGAGTGTCTTCTTTTTTTAAGGGGGCCTGCCTGGTGGCGCAGCGGTTAAGTGCACGAGTTCCGCTTCAGCAGCCGGGGTTTGAAGGTTCGGATCCCTGCGCGCACAAACACACCGTTTGTCAAGCCATGCCGGGGCGGCGTGCCATATAAAATGGAGGAAGATGGGCATGGATGTTAGCCCAGGGCCAATCTTCCTCAGCAAAAAGAGGAGGATCGGCATCAGATGTTAGCTCAGGGCTGATCTTCCTCACACACACACAAAAAAGAACGAGAGGGTAAAGAATCTATTTCAGTTCCAGGCCCCTAACAAAGTCCAAGGCAGCTCTGATATAGACTCTCTAGATCCTTTTGGAGAGTCACAACCAACACAAGAGTGTGTACAGAAAAGCTCCACAATATTCTCAAATGATTCACAATTGACTGTAACTTCAAAACACTTCCTGTCCAAAGGAACAAACAAATTAAATCTGCATGCATTCTTATTCCATTTACCAAATTAAACATTTTTAGATTTGACCTGTTAACTGAGATTAATTCAGGGCTGGCTGGCAGCCTCGACACTGTGGCATCTGGACCGTAAGAAGGGCTTTAGTGGAAACTGTTTGACTCCATCTTCCTTAGAGAACAGGTTGAACTTCCTGTGACCTTTTGATCAAGTGTGGACACATAATGAGAAATATCAAACCAAAATCTCCTATTTATTCAGAGGTTAATATCTTCCTATTGCTGCTAAGCTTGGCGAGTAATATCTAAATACTCATTTCAATTTATGATTTTCACTTAATATGAAGCTTTAGCATCTGGATTAAAAGGATTCCAGAACAAAGGGGATCAAATGTTAAAAACAAACTAAAACAAATAAATCTAGGGCTATTCAGAGAAAGGGAAAGAAACAATGCAGGGTTTTCCCTGATTAGACTTTCTCTACACACATCAGTCCTACAAAGGAAGAGGCTTGATTTTCAAGTCAAGGGACAAATATATTGGAAATATAATGAGAAAAATCATGCTGGCCAGCACAGAAATTCTGTTTTGCCTTGTTACAGAACTTCAGTCCACATCTGACTTTGCATTAATTATAGCAATAATGTGCTTGGATCTCGAAGGAAGATTGATTAACCAGTAGGAACCACCAGGTGGATTCAGGCTGAATATAAGATCTCTGAAAAAGACCAGACCCCCAGGAGCCTCCAGGTCAAGGTCAACTCATCAGGACCACTCCACTTACTCTGGGATAACTCCAGATCTTTCCTCCAGTTTAGTTAGGGATAAAGGACATCACCAAAAAGGTTGGATGCAGAAATAAACTGTTCCCAGTTCTCCAAGCCATATAGATAAGAACTCAAGTGGTCTATTTTGAAATCCTTTGTATCTTTTACTGCAGCCCTCCCAATTCCCCCTTAGAGGTAATATCAATAGATTTTGGAAAATCAAAGCAATTCAAAAAGTGAAATGACTGGTCATGGCTGCCAACTCAAAAGGTCCATTATTGCAAAGCCCTTTAATTTAAGAAAGTCCCTCCCAGAAGAGTCCATGCATAACTTAAAGTTACTATTGCAATTAGGGTGTGAGGAGAAATAATGGTTGAAAGATCTAAATTGTTACTCTTGGAAGCAGTATACATTGTTGTGTTCTGGGCCAGCTTTAAACGTGAATACATAAATAAATTGCCTTGGTTATAAAACTAACAAAATATCCAAATAATCACTAGCTATTAATTTTTCTTTGTCTCAAGAACACATCATATCACTGCAAGATTTCTCTTCGGTTATCAAAACTGGGTCTGAACCCAGTAAGGCCAAGTGGTTTGGTCAATCTCACAAAGAAACTGAAACTAGAGTTGTTTAAAGCTACATTCTCCCTTTACTACAACATAAATCAGAAGCTTAGACGAGTAACTGCAACCTTGAAAATATCTGACTTAACTCTGCCGAGGCACCTACTGGTAAAGAAGCTTGTCTACTCTGTCCCTATCGATGGCTTCTACTGAAGATTATAGCAGGCAAAATTCACATAGGTTTATACACTGCCTCATTTAAAATAAGAAATTGAGGATAACTATAGTTATAAAATGAAGTAAATCCAAATAAATGAATACAGAAAATAAAATGAAGGCAGAGATGAGATCCCAAATATATGACACACAGTGCTGTTCAATGGCTAGGACTAAGAAGGCATGTTACTGGGTGCGTCCCCAAGAACCTGGAGGTGCGTTGTAGTGCAGCACGGGTTTCCACGGATCGGTATTGTTCAACATTAGGCAAACGGCAACACTTGCTCATGCTTCAGAGTTGCCTCTCTAGAACTCTCCCCAACAGGTTTGAAAATGGGCTCCATTGTGAAGTGTTACATAACATTCTTTCATAATTCTGAAGTATCTTCCAAAATTAATCCCAGTTAGAATTTTGTAATGCATCATGAGAATAGATTTTGGAGCAAGAGCTGCACCAAACACTTCATTGCGTGTGCAGGCACACCATACACACACACAAACGTAAGTCCTCTTTGGGATTATAACTCACTAAGTAAACTTTGGAGACACACTGTAGTGCTTCACACACCACATCTGAAAAACAATAATTGCACTAAATAAAATAAATAATAAGAAGTAAATTAGAAAGAATCCAACAGATTCTTGTTTTTACCTTGTGCTTAAGTTATAAGTTAAATATTTTCCCAGACAGCAGGCTGGAGGCTGTGGGAGAATTGGGGGGGGGGGGAGCTAGATTACATGGGGTACCTTCTAGCTCATGAAAGATAAATATAAATTCCTAGTTTCTTCCCTGTTGACTCAATAAAAAGATAAGGTGACCTAACGAGCCGGAAGCTCCTAATTTAAATTCCATTTTATGCTTTGATCCAGAACAACGTATCTTGGCAGAGATCCGGCAGCACCCCGAGAGCAGCATGGTTCCAAGTGTCTCCTGAGAAGCAGCCATCTGCTGCAAGGGTTTGAGGAGGCGACGAGAAGGCGTTTCTTTCACCTGCTCTGCCCTAGACTTGCTGCCCGGACACTGGCAGCCCGTTCCAGAAGAGTCTTGCACAACTTTTGGCCCCCAATTCCTTCCCCTTGGTAAAAGTCGGAGTTCTTCCGAACCTGGGTACCTCATCTCTAAACAGAATGTATCCGAGGAGATGTTAGGGAAAGCTACCTGTTGTGGCGTTTATAGTATAAATGTCTTTTTATTCGTTTTGAACCAGCCGGCCTAACGTACATTTTGGAAGGCAACCTCTCCTGCCCCCGTCGAGACTGGGGAAGAAGGCAGCCCCAGCCCCGCGCTGGGCGGGCGCCCCCTGGTGGCCGGACGAGCCATAAACGCAGCCGAGCCTGCGTTCACTCGGACGCTCTAAGGACTGGCG